GGCTATTACCATCTTCATAATAGGTTTTATTGATAAGCCTTGTTGTGCTAATCAAATTTGATAAATATTAGGTGTAGGTATCCTCAATTTGATTTTATTGTCAAGGCTTATTAAAAGGTTAAGCGCCCTTTAATTAATTAAGCTTATGGCTTGTTGAGACAAAAAAAAAATTTATGCGTCTACAGCGGCTTCATCTCCAGCTCTTCTTTCTCAACATCGAGCATGGATTCTAGCAACTTATCCTTTCTGGACAATACTTTGAATAATCCTTGTTGTACTAGGAGAGCCCTCATTTTGACTCTCAACAAACTGAAACTGTTTCTCTCATCGAACTTCTCCATTTTGTATTTTGCTAAAGACATCTTGAAGCCTACAAGAATATAGTTGTTGCTCTAATACTAGTTTGTTACAGCAGGAGCTCAATAAACATAAAAGATGCTTATATAAAGTGGATAATAACACAATATTGTATATATATAGTAGAGATAGTAAACAACACACAAGGATTTAATATAATTCGGTCAGTATGACCTGCATCCACGGGCGAAGAAAGCAGACGAATTCATTAATCACAAAAGAGAATATTATAAAAGTAGGCTACTCTCTAATATCTCCCCGAACTCATGAAGAAGAGAACACTTAAAACTCTCTTTTTCTTCTTCTCTCTGTTCTTTTCTCTCTAACTCTCTCTTTCTTCTTTATGTCCTAAAATGCTTATTTATCTCTCATTTTCATGTGAATTTATAACATCTATTGTTAATATAAAAGGGACATTAAGATTGGTGAAATAGTTGGGCTAATTTATAGTCTAAAAGAAAATTGTATGGCTGAATGAAGAGGCTAAAGCTCAAAATAGTGGAGGAGCTACAACTTTGTACTTCGGTGATGGTAATTGCTGACTTCGATGACTGCAATTGTTGACTTTATATTCAAGTCACTTTCACACTAGTTACAAAGCAGAAGATTGCCCGGAGGCCCCGTTCAATCATAGTCATCCAATATGGCTAATGAGAGATCAAATGACACTTCAATCCCATAACAAACATCTGGTGGAAACCCTAAAACTAGTGCATCAGACTGGAGGTGACTATGTCCCATGGATAGTTACTTCGAAGCTACAAACAAGGCGGTGCGAAAATGCTTGTGACATACATCTAACATTGGTAAAGAGACAACCAGTGGATCTAGATTTGGCATTCTGACCGACTTCTTGGAAGCCTCCGAGGAAAGGGATCCAGAATTGGTTAGAGAGAAATGTTGGGAGGAAGCTATCAACCAAGATCAAACCACTAAGTATACCGTCAACCAGGGTCCAAAGTGTTAGCCTTCTTGTTTTGATGATGATTCACAAACACCATTATTGGTGCTAATTGTTTATTAAGTTATATTATAGATTATAATTCATTAGCACCATTATTAGAGGATTGGATGGAATATGAGCTACAATGGTGATATCTAAGGAGGTGGAGGCAAAGTGATGAAGTAAAGCTTTCTGAGAGCACTACATACATGATAAGCTTCATCAACATAGAAGCAAATATCAAGACTCAAGCCATGTACTTATATGTGAGAAATATTTTCTATTTTATTTTCTCTCTAGTACTTAATGTAGGCAAGTAGCTTATTGATTACATTTGAAGTTCTTGGGATAACACACTTATACGTTTCAATACTCGTATTTTGACATTTTTACTAAAACAATAATTTTCACAAGTACGAGGACCTTTTTTGCAAAATTACTTTTCAAACAAGTTTGTTATTATATTTATAAACTATTTCCAAAGTTTCATATTTTTTAGAATTTATTTACTATTTTTAAAAGACATTTGAAACTCATTTTTAAAACCTATACTGGCTGAAATTTTTTAGAATTTATTTACTATTTTTAAAAGACATTTGAAACTCATTTTTAAAACCTATACTGGCTGAAAAACTGTTATCGGTCGACTGATGATTTAAAAGACATTTGAAACTCATTTTTAAAACCTATACTGGCTGAAAAACTGTTATCGGTCGACTGATGATTGTTATCAGTCGATTGATAAAACCCACCAGAATCTTAAAAAGTTTCTGTTTCTTATTTGGTCGACTGACCAGTCGACTGATGATCTCATTAGTCGACTAATACATGAGATCAGTCGACTGATGAAACATGCCAGAATTGCTAATAGTTTCTGCTTTTATTTGGTCGACTGACTAGTCGACTGACTAGTCGACTGATGATACAGTCAGTTGACTGATAATATAGTCAGTCGAATGACGAGCTAAAAATTACCTGCAACGGTCAGCTCATCAGTCGACGGATGCAACCCGTCAATCGACTGATAAGCCTCCAACGGCTAGTTTTGTGCAGAATCATGTTTCTCGATTTTTGGGGATTTTTGTCTATTTCTTTATGGCTTGGTTATCATCTTCACTTCTTATATATACCCACCAACTCCATTAACTTCAGTAACCAGGCTAGCATTGAAAAATCTCTTGAGTTTGTGTTTATTGTTCAAAAGAGCTTCAACTTTCATCTATTTTCACACCGTATAATTTCACATCCCAAGCTTCACTTACAATCTCTTCCTCTTGCCATAGGGCTGCTGTAAGAGAGAGTTTTTCTTCTATTTGTAACTGTTGTGAGCTTGATCTCGTGGAGATCTACTGTGTGGTTATGAGATCTCGGTGGAGATCGTTGTGTAGAGAAGTTTCGGCTTCCAAACCGGGTTTGTTAGTGGAATTCTCCTCGAGAGTGGGGAGCGGGGACGTAGGTCGGAGGACCGAATCTCGTGAACATACCACGTGTCATGAATTGGCTAACTATTTCTAATCCCTACTCTCTTTTATTGTTATTGCTTTTCATAATTGTTTATGGTTTATTGAAAAATCTTTTAATTGCATATTCATTATCCATAAACGTTATTCAAACCCCAACCCCCCCCCCCCCCCTGGTATAAATTCGAAAAATAAAATAACAAATAGTAGATTGACCCAGTCCTTACTAAGGAAAGGCCAATAAGTCATAATCAAGTTTATTATAGTGAAGATACAATTGAGATCTCTCACCCCAGTGGAGCCACAACCAACACTCGAGAATCTTGCAAGAATGGGCCCAATTCTCATATGAGCATGCAACCCATGCAACATAGCCAGTCCGTTATCAATTAGAAGGAAATACATTTGGAGAATGATTATAGCAAAGGACGTGGATTCAATTTTAGTCCATATGGTAGGTATGTTTCACGTCAAGCATTCAAGGGCTCAACGGACCCTCCCGATCCCATTGTATTTGCCGATTTCATTGGAAGGCAGAGGAAATACTAGCATATTTGTGCAATCGTTATCGAGCAAGTAAACACCTCTTCGTGAAGGGATTTTACTGTAGGACGCATTACTAGAAAATTAATGGAGAAGTAGGGCTTTTACAAGTTAAATGCGGATGTGGATAAATTATTTATTTGCCCATAAAGAAATAACCATATGTCCCAATCTGGAAGGTGGATTCTGACATATTATATATTAAAATCACCTATCTCCATGAGACAAAACCATTTAGATTGACAAGATTCCTGAAATTACATTAGTCTCACTAGTTTTTGGTAAAAATCTAAAAATAATTAGCATTTAATTTATTTTTAGTAATAAAATTGGAGTCTATTTAATTTAAGAAGCAAATTCAATTTTGTTTCATGTTAGACTGATTTATGTTAGACTGATTTGCTTCCCCAATTATAGGGCGTCTTTTTAGAGTAAGATTTGATAATTTCTATTTCTAATCTTATTAAGAGTCTAGTTTGTTTTTCTACTTAAGAAGTGACGTGTAATCCCAAAATTATTAGATCACTTTCATCAATAAAATTCCTCTTTTAATATTCTCTTTGTGGATTTGAACTTCTTCGAGGATTTAGAGATTGTTCTTTGTAGATTCAAAGAGCACCTTAGTAGATTCTGAGGTTTATCACTTCCACACTGCGTAAATTGGTATCAAAGCTTTGTTTTCGATTCGATTGCAGGTGTCGAAGCCCCTATTATCTGAACTCAAATTAAGACTCATTTAGACCGACTTGCGTTGGCAATGGAGTGTCTAAACCAGGGACGAGTTCGAGATCATGTTGGTGGTCGCCAAATACATGCTTGGACTTTGCAACAAGAATTCAACAGCAACATCAATGAAAATGACGCCTCTCACCAAAATCATGATAGTCAAGACTACTCAAGAAAGGATATATATAATACTGAAAACATGAGGGTTGATTTACCTACTTTTAATGGGAAACTCGGTGTAAATGATTTTCTTAATTCACTAGTAGAAAACAGAGTATTGGCGACGGGGAAATCCGTCGCCAATGCAGTCAAATCCGTCACGAATGCACATTCGTGATGCCCAATTGTCCGTCACCAATAATCCCCTCGCCAATACACATTGGCGACAGGGTCATCCGTCGCCAATGTACATTGGCGACGGAGAGGTATTGGTGACGGGTAAAATTGGCGGTGAGTTTACCGTTGTCGCTAAAACACATTGGCGATGGGATTCTTTCTGTCGCGAATGTGTTTTGGTGACGATGAGATTGTCATCGCCAATAAACATTGGTGACGGGGTGCTTTCTATCACCAATGTGTTTTGGCGACTACGAGACTGTCGTCGCCAAAATACATTGGCGACGGCGTGTTGTCCGTCGCTAATGTTTATTGGCGACGGAATGCACCCCGTCGTAAATATTTATTGGCGACGACAATCTTTCCATCACCAATGTGCATTGGTGACGGGGAAATCCGTCGCCAATGTGCATTGTGACGGGGAAATCCGTCGCTAATGTATATATTTACGTAAAAAAAATTACTTTTCTAGTAGCCTCACATACGAGAATACACATATAGTCTGTATCAACATCAATCCAATGATAATATTTAACAATATATCATAAAATTAACCACGATATACATTCACATTCCGAATGAATACTCATCCAATTTCATCCGTCAATCCACAATATCGAACAATACTCATCATATAATCACAATCACAATATATCTCGCATGCTCAAATAATATTCATTCACTACGCAATAAAATCACAAATATATTACATATAGGTAAAATTCAAAAGTCATAATATGTCTTAACACAAGTCTCACTCACTCCTCATCATCGTCTTTGTCGTTGTCGACATCCTTGTTATCAGTGTCGTCTGTATTAGAACGTCGTATCGTACTGTTGCTCCCTACGGGAGTACCTCCTCTAACCTGAAAAGATTATCACTCCATATAAGATATATATATACCAAAAATATCATAATAAATACATATATGTCACGTCATATATACAAGTAGAGCCCCTTTGCTCCTTTCCCATAAAATGAAACAACATAAGCTAAAAAGAAATCACGAAAGTGGCTCTTCCGTTGTACTCGGCTACATTATTGGAGCACGGACTAGTCAATGAATAAGACCGAGGCATCACGTGTTTCCCTGGGGAGATTAAGACAACTCCAACCCCAGAGGAAACTGTATGACCTCCCGGGATTATTACCTTATTAACTACTCTCGACGCACCATCGAAATATAATTGCCATACTTGTTGGTGCAATGTGGTGTTAACCTCGTGGGTTTCTCACGAAAGTGGCTCTTCCACAAGATTTTGTATTAAAACAGAGGAAAACTTAAATAAATTCTCAGTAAAATAGACAAACACTTGTCCATACACAGAACTATAGTCACTCCAATTTCTACTCTATGAACAAACTAGATATCACAACATACCAAAAGGAAATAAAGAACTATCAAATTACACAATTAAAAAATAAACTTTTCCTCTATCATCATAGCATTCAAATTCATTTAAAATTTAGCCTAAAAACTTTTCCTCTATCATCAAAGCATGTTACATTTTGAAGTTGTTGTAAGGTACATCATGTTCAGCATCATCTGAGTTTACAATTGGAATATCATAATAAGTTGTTTAAGAACCAATTGAGTTATAGATTTACAAAGACTTGAGCTGAATACAACAGAATAAAAATCAAACAAAATCTCACCTCAAATGATGAATTAGATGGGCGCATACTTCACCACTGAATATGCTGGATTATCTTGTAGCAGGTTGGGATATGTCTGTCAAAAGAAAATAACAAATGGATGAGCCAAACTCATTAAAAAGATAAAAAGAGGGGGAAAAAGTTCCAAGGGTGATTAGAAATATTGTGTAAGCTATCTGCTATCACACTCAAAATTATGAGAGCCAAGATTAATGGAACATGATAAAAGCTCCACTTTAAGCAATGTTAAAAATCAAATACCACAGCTTCTAATTTGCAATTATTAACAGGGATCAACTCACCACCAACAACAAAGTCAAAACCCAAAAAAAAATATTTTTAATTAAAATTAAAAATAAAGCAAGATCCTTGATATAATCAGTCACGTGAGGAACATCCTCAAGGACGTAACCAGTAGCAGCACGAACAATCTTAGGATCCGGTTTCTTCGGCGTCCCCTTCTCCGATCCCATTGATGATCTCGACCTAAGATTCGATGCCGATGGCACCCTCTTCACTGACGAAATCGAAGATCAAGGAGGTGATCAAAGCTCGAACTCTTGGGGATCGAGCCCTGCTGCTGGTCAAAGTTAGACATGGATCCCATTGTCAGAGGTTAATTAATTAAGGTTGAGGAAGTTTTATGAAATAATAAGATTGAATAGAGCCAGGCTTTGTATTTATAATGAGAGAACTGTGAATAAAAATAAAACAGGCGAGAACAGAGGTTGATCGAGCACTTACGTTAGTTTTTGACGTTTTACGAAAGCGATTGGGGGAGGAAGGAGAAGAAAGGAGAAGGTGATGTAATGTAACACAAGAGAAGGAGACAGGGAGGAAGGATGCACGAAGGTCGCGGCTATTGGAGAGATCAGAGAGAACAGAGATTGGGGTTAGGGATTTTAGAGGGGGTTGGAAATTAGAGAGGGCGGGATTTTAGAATTTGGGAGAAATTTTTGGGGGGAAGCTGGTTAACGAATAGAATGGAGGAGGAGTGATGTTTTATTTGGGGATATATTTAGAGCACCAAATTTTAGACTACTAGATTTTATGCATGTGCAATGCACGTGGTTGAATACTGTGATTAAGTATTTTTGATTTATTTTCTTACTAAAATTTATTCAGCGGTTACTCTTTGATAATAATTTGCTCACTTTGATTAAGTATTTTTGGTTTATTTTTTACTAAAATTTGTTCCTCGATTATATTTTGATTATTTATTTATTTGATGCTTGTTTGAATAGGCTACATCCAGTTTAAATTTTTATGTTGATAGTTGAATTGTCAGAAGATAAATATAACCTAAAGCCAATTTAAATTTTTATTTCATTTGGATCAACATGAAACCGAGCTTGACCTGAGGAAGTATAGTGTTATGAAAGTGAAAACACTTGAAAAAATAACAATATAAAAGGAAGATGAATAATAAAGCAGACGAGCCAAGATGATTGATTTAAAATGGGCTAAAATGATAGAAAATGGTTAATGAAAAAATCATAAACTGGAGATTAATGCTAACTCTAGTATTCTTTTATATGATAAAAACATCCACATATGCATATAAAAGCACTAAAATAGTTTATAAAAATCTCTTCTAAAGATTCCTAATTTTACTAAAAAATAAAACTATTCTATAACAATTTACAAAACATTATCTTTTGTTACTTCTATTTTATTTTTTATTGAGACGAGATCAATCATTCTTCATCTTTACCTTTTTCCTAGCCAATTCTAGAGTAGTAGTGTCTTCATCATCTACATCGGTTTTGATATGAGACTGAAGCATGTTATCTTTCCTTGGGCTCATTCATCTTTTGTCTTCTCGTCTAAATTCACAAAGAAGTTGAATATATTTCTTATATTCAACACAAACTTCTGACAATACAGACTTTGATTTTTTTTCCTATTTTAATAATAATAAATCTTAATTTCATATATATGAATTTTTTATGCTTTTAATTTATTACTTAAATAAGGTTAGGAGCTACCTCTTTTTTCTCTACAATGAATTATTTTGTTATGCATCCAATAAGAATTTCTGCTGTGTCATAATGTTATATTTGCATTGTATGTATCATTTTCCATGAGGATCTGAACTAAATACATTAAATTTTTCATTGTCAATTTGCTTTAGATTATAATATTAATATTTAATTTTGATATATTTATTTTATGAAGAAGGGATATCACTTAACCTTTGTACTAAATCATCGGCGATTCTACAACATTTATCATCTGGACACTTATTATTAATATCTTTATCTATTTTCTTATTGCAACCTTTGCAAACAAAGAATCACTGCTCAACTCTATTATAAATGGTAGTTATCGTTATCTTAAAGGTGCGATGTGTGACTGTATATTGGTAAATTATTCTTAGGTTTAATTATATGAATTTTAGAGTAGGTTTTCTAAGATCATACATCTTTCAAATATTATAATGGTTGTATATATTAGTAATTTGAATTTATGTTGCATTTATAAAGAGCCTTAATATAGATCATTTTGTCTTGGCAGCTTACTCTAAAGGAGCGCTGCATATTAGCTTTAAATGTAATATATTTTTTACAATGTTAAATGTAATAAATCTTTATAATTTTTTACCTAATAAATATTATTACCATTAGAGATCAATATTTATAAATTGTAATCAATTAATGTTAAGCTATTAAATTATAGTCTTTTATCAGTTTTTTGTGATTTAATCTTCTATCAATTAATGATACTTATATTTTTTTTTGTTCTAACATATTGGTAAAATTATATGCAGTTACTTTAATTTATACAATAACACTAATTTTTTGTGTTCTAACATATTGGTAGATATTATTTGTCTTATTAATTTATTTAATGATATAATATTTGATATCCAATGGTATTTTTGTCTATCGAAAGATTTTTCCGAACTCGTGCTTTTAAAGGGAGTATGATGTATTGAATATGTGATTTAATTATGTAGCTATAATTAAATAAACTAATAAAAAGTCATAAAGATATATAAAAAACACTAACAAATCTTTAATATTTCCAAAGTAGTCCCTCAAATAATGAAATTTCTATTACATCCCTCTAATCATCACAATGTTTACAATTAGGCCCCCTAGTTAACACCGGTTAGATTTAAAAAAATATTCTTTTAAATTAAACTAATGTTACCAGCTTCCCTTGAATTTTAATTATAAGATCAATATGGTTACATGTTCATACCACGTATAACTAAAAATGATATTCTCATTGGTATCTCACCATTTTCTCATCATTTTCACTTTTCGTATCATTTACTCTAAACTAATCAAAGTCAAAGTCAAAAACTCACCAATACTAATCGAATATCAAAGTATATTTATTTCGCTAAAGAAATAAATTTTCAAGTATTATTAAAATTAATAAATAAAAATTATTCATTTTTACTATATATATGATGTGTAGATATTTAAATTAAAATTTAATTAGAAAATAGATTTAAGATTATTTGAGTCTTAAAATCGGTATATAAAACTTAAGTAGAAATGATAAGTGGTTAAAAATGTGACATCATATATGCAAAATACAAACAGTAACTTGTGATCAATTTTAAATGAATATTTAATAAACAAATAAATCGAATATACATATGATCAAATTCTAATCATTAGCAAACTCAAATACTAAAAAAATAAATTTTAAAATAAACATTAAAAAATAAATTTTAAAAATAACATAGAACTCCTAATTAATTGATAAGAGCTATGATAAGTTCTGGTATATCATTAGAAAAATCAATATTATTACATGTTCGTAACACGTATAACTAAAAATGATCTCATCATTGATCTCTCACTATTTTCTCATCATTTTCACTTTTCTCATCATTTTCTCTAAACTAATCAAAGATGAAGCCAAAAACACGCAAATATGACATCATATATGTAATAATACAAATAATAACATGTGATCAATTTTAAATGAATATTTAATAAACAAATGAATCAAATATACGTACATCTGGTCAAATTCTAATCGTTAGCAAACTTGAATGTGTTAAATGAACTACCGAATCGAATATGACTGAAAAGTTATTTGAACAATTATCGAACTATTTGTTAATTATTTGGTTCAATTACATCCTTAGATGTGTTAGCATGCAATTTACATAATTTGGTGGACTACTTTTTAAATATTATAGATTTGAGGGACTAATATTAAAATAATTCTTTATTTTTTTGTGGACGCCACTCCTTAACAATAGGATAATCAATTAATAATTTAAACTTTTTATGATGGGCACATTAGTATCGGAGACGGAACGCATCCGTCGTCAATACACATTGACGACAAACACGATCCGTCGCCAATACTTATTGGCGACGTACACGATCCGTCACCAATACCTATTGGCGACGTACACGATCCGTCACCAATGTTTGTCGTCGCCAATAGTTATTAGCAATGAAAAACATTAGCGATGGATCATTTCCGTCGCTAATAGGTATTGGCGACAGACACGTTCGGTCGCCAATACCTATTGGCGACGGAAATGATCTGTCGCCAATGTTTTCCGTCACTAATAACTATTAGCGACGGAAAACATTGGCGATGGATTGTTTCCGTCGCCAATAGGTATTGGCAACGGAGCGTGTCCGTCACCAATAGGTATTGGCGACGGATCCGTTTCCTCGCCAAGATCCGTCGCCAATGGTCATTGGCGACGGAAAAACATTGGTGACAGCCAAAATCCGTCACCAATACAAACATTAGCGATGAGGTATTGGCGACGGGTTTATTTCCATCGCTAATGTTTGTATTGATGACGGATTTCGAATCCGTCACCAATACCCCGTCGCCAATGCTCTGTTTTCTACTAGTGATTGGATTGATGAGGTGAAGAGATACATGGAAATTCTAGAAGGTAAGAAGGTTAAATGAGTATCCTATCAACTTAAGGGTAAAGCATCTTTTTGGAGGCAATCGTTATGCGAGGATCGAGTCCGTTAGGAGAAGTGAAAATTTCGATCATGGGTGAAGATAAAGAAATTGATGAAAGCTCGTTTTCGTCCAATATATTATTATGTGCTCAATCAATACTCGAGTTCATACTCTAACTATGACCATTTAGAGCTTAAGCAAGTCCAATTTGTCACTAAGCAAGACCATGAAGTTGTGAAGAGCATTGAAGAAGTAACGAAGAAAGAAGAACCATCTCTAGAGCAGAATATCTTCCGCATGAGATACACCATGCTGCAGAAGATTTGTAATGTCATTATTGACAACTACAGTAGTGATAATCTTACCTCTCGGCGTATGGTAAATAAGTTAGGCTTGAAGACAGTGAAACACACACCTTCCTACAAGATCGACTGGATTCGCAAGGGCAGTAATGTGCAAAACGATTGGATGTGTCAGATACCTTTTTCTTTTGGCCGCAACTATGTTGATGAGGTGTTGTGTAATGTGGCTGAGATGGATACTTGTTATATGCTTTTAATTAGGTAGGCCATTAAAGTTCGATGTTGGTGCTACCTATATGTGTAGAGACAATGTTTAAATCTTCAAGAAGGATGAACACTGAACTACACTCATGCTTCTTACAGAAAATGAGTCATCCAAGATAGAGATTATTAAGAAGATTATTGAGAAGAAGAGGCATTTGGTGGCAGACAATAATGCTATAGCGGAAGACTTGAAATAATTTGAAGAGTTCAATGACTTAGTTATAATTGAAAAAGAAAAACCTGTCCCTGGAGTGTTTGCGGTGAAAGTTGATTTCTTCATTGCTGAATCTATTACATGTTTATCGATTACAGATTCAAAGTAAAATTAGTCTTTTTATAAGACTTTCTTACACAATGAAATAAAAAATAAAAAAAATACAACTCTCTTCAAACAAACGCAACGGGTGTTTATCGCCCGCTGCTTGCGTGGGATCTTGGCCTGTGACGGGGATGTTGATATCCGTGGACCACCATCGATCAGATCTGATTACTGAAAAATCAGGCAGAGCTTCATTGA